CTTCACTGAGTTACGCAAGCCCCTTCGCCACGACAAGGCAGTGATCCATGAAGGGGTGGTTTTAGCTAGTGCAATACATAAGCCAGACCCTCCCTCCCAGCCCTCTTTTTCCTCTGGTGGGACCGAAATGTCTCGGTAAGAGAGACGGGGCCTGACGGAACTCATTGGACCGTCTCAGCATAAGGGCCACATCAAAATAAGCACAGCTTAGCAACTCCCCTTGAATTGACTGGGGCAGTCTCCTGGAGACTTTTAATTCATTCGGTTGATATCCCACCTTTCCCCTTAGAGCTCCTGGTATGATATGTGAGCTGCAGAAGTTCAGATGACTACTTCATGGCAGAATAAACTAGCAGATTCCGTATCTCTTTGATGCTATCTAGTGATCACCCAAAATGTTTACTTCATCTTGCAAGATATTCTCACCAGGTCCTTCTCGGTTCATGGACTGCAGCCCCTTGGAGTGGTTGATTCTTTCCATCTGGAGACAACTAACTACCAAGTTTGAATATCTAGGGCGTTCTTTCCAAAATCGTCAAGTATCTTTTTGAGAAGAGAGTACAAAGGTTGCATCAAACAATTTAGAGAGCAGGAGCTGGTTATGCAAGTAGAAGCCCCAACCCATTAGATTTTTCATTAAAATATATATATATATATATATGAGAGAAAAATAAGATGCAGTTACGAATTGTTAAAGATTTCATCGTTGTAATCACTATTGTTACATTATCAGCGTTCTACTTCACTAGACAAGATTGAATAGAAAGAAAGGCTTAAATTCTATATTTGATGAATGAATGCATAAAGTGCATGAGTGGAGAACACGAGGTGAGAAAAAAACAGAAACACAGTCACAGAGAGTTTAAGATATTTCATCCAGATGACTCATGTTTATTTTGAGAAGTAAAAACAGCAATTTTATCTCTAGAAATGTTCTGTTCATCAGTGACAGTTCTATTTGTAAACTATCTGACTCATATTACTACCAATATCTTGAATCATACATACTATTTCTACTAGGTCATAAAGTTAGACCAAGAGGGTTGGCTGGGTCCAACAGATTATTAAATATCTGCCATTTGAACCAGAACATCTGAAAGTACATTCTCTCTTCAGTGTTACTAAGTCAGCCTATAAATATCAGCTACTAAATGGAATAGCTGCATATTGGCTACTCAACATTCAACCTCAAAGTACAAACAGGAGGAGG